GCGGGGCCGGGAGCGGGTCCTACCTGGCGCCCTCGCTGAGCGACCCCTGCGTGTTGTAGTTCACCATCATGATCCGCACCGCGCTCTTGAACTCCAAGTCGCCCTGCCTCAGGTACTCCATCGTGCGCCGGATCGGGAACCGGCCCTTCATCGGCATGGCGGCGGCGGCGCGTCCCCGCGCTCCTCGCGCCTGCGCCGTGCAGCTCGATCCCCCGCCCCGCCCCGCCCCGCCCCGCGCGTAGCTCGTTAGCAATGGAAGAAATGGGGCTTTATTTTTTGCAAAACTGTTGTCGGCCTAATAAAAGATCTCCTCTCTCCTAGGCGTCCTGATTGCCTTTCCCTCTAGACCGCACGCCCGCCAAGAGACTGGAAATACCTGAAGCCGCGGGTGTTGGTGGGGGGGAAGGTCGTGTGGCCACTTACGGTTCTGGGCTGACTCACAAATTCAGACTTAATTTGGCTGGGACGTGAAACATTTCTTAACAAAAAAAAAAAAAAAGGCCAACCCACGTCACAGCCTGCGCTGCCCGGGGAAGCGGGCACAGTCCCGCGTGCGGGCGGGCGCTCACCTGCGCCAGAGCGACCCTAGCTACAGGCCGTGCGCCGCCTGCAGAGGAAAGCAGCCCCCCTAGTCTGCACCAGCCTGACCATGGGGAAAAATCCCATCCTGACCCCAAACAGGGCGTGGGTCTGACCCCGAGTGAAGGGGCGAGAGCATCCAGCCGTGTCGCATAGTGGGGCCAGAGCAAGTTATGCCCCCTCCCCGTGATCAGAGGGGGCTATTGGGTAGGTGTGAAGTAATCACTTAGGATAACAAAAGAACCAAGCGGGGATGGGAGTCAAGGTCATAGTTAAAGATGAGTGCCCACAGGGGCAACACGGTGCACAGCACACTGGACAGTGCCCACTGGCCCTCCGAGTCCAGGGAGCCAGCGGACACTGCCTGGCGCAACTGCTGGGACACGTGAATAGAAGAGACGGGAAAGTGGCCTCGCCGTCCCCGGCTGTCTCCCCAGCCACAGCCTCCTTCCCAGTCAATCGCAAGCCGCACTAGGGCCAGGAGTAAGTTGACCAGGAGGTCCCAGGACTCGGTGGAGTTGCGAGCAGGGTTTGGTCCCAGCGGCACTGGTGATCCATGCACGCAGCGTTCAGCCAACATCAGACTACTCCTTTGCCCCAGGTTTCTTTTCATTGAAACCTGACAAATGCCAGGTGACAGCAGAACCTGCAGCTAGCGAAAGACTGAAATGGCACTTTCTTGCCCTGGTCTGTTGTAGCGAATCCAAATGTAATGGCCAGGCCCCTGCTCCTGTGAGGAGTAGTCTTGGGGCAAGGGAACTACAAGGTTCCAGCTGAACGTGGGAATCAGTGGGGATCTTGGCCACCGCGGGGTTGGGATAGTGACCAGGATGTCAGATTCCCTCTCTCCTCCCAAGTGATATGAAAACCAGTGCAGAGCAGGACATGTACATTGTGATAAGGCTAATTAAATGAGCATTTTTCATCCCACTTCAGCTGGAGCTTCTGGGTTAATCCTGGCCAGAGCATTGCAGCAAGCGAGTTTTAAATAAGACAGTCACCCATACCTCTGGTTAAGTCTACGTTTGAGGAAAGGAAGCAGTCTCTTGACCAACATAAGCATAATATGGGTTTTTCCAGGTACTGCTGCAGTTTAGAGTGTGTGACATTCAGCACAGGACTGCTCCAGCTGTAACATAATAGGAGGCATGGTTGAACGTGGGAAAGGATAAAAGATGACAGAAAGCCTGAAGAAAGGTTGGGAAGACTTTAGAGAATGAGGGCAAGGAAAGCCAGGGTGTAAGTAAGGGCAGGGTTATTAGAGCCTTGCAAATGGAGATTAAGAGTCTGAATTTTATGTTAAGACAAAGGAAGCCAAAAGGAAGATTCAAGGATGAGTTAACTACATTGGCTTAGGGAAAAAGACGGATTCTTCTGGGAAGCAATGAGACCAGTCAGTAAAAAGTACCAGAAATCAAGGCAAGCAGCAGACCTAATCCACAGCAAAGATGTTAGCTGCAGGAATACTGAGAAGGGGAAGAATAGGCTTACTTTTAAAAGCTGTGAGGTACATAGAGACCATGAGTCTGTTCTGTTATTTTTCTCTCTCGTAATGCTGTGGTATGATGCAACTTCCTGGAATAAGGAATAGTTCTGATTTTCCATTTAGCTCCTCTTTAAGTCACTTTGCTACAGAAAGATTATCTTGGTAAATGCCAGATAATACACTGCTAACAAAAAATGTACATTGTTCTGGTCAGGTATAAAGAATAAGTTCTGTAGGGAACAAAAACCATGTGCCACTGGCTAGGCCAGCACTGTGGAAAGTTTTCTTGCGGAAAACTCCCCTAATGCATATCAATCTTGACCAGTAAAATCTTTGACAAAAAGTCTTTGTGTCTTTTGTAGAGAAACAGTCGGAGATTAACATCAATTGGCCTGAATGGCTGATGGCTTATACTGCGGAGATACTTTCTGTAGGAACTAGGTCCAGCTTTGGCATGGGGCAACAACAAAGATGGCAGTAAGTGTTAAAAGAACCAGGGGAGGCTAAAGAGGGCTCAATGGAAACCATTAGGATCAACTCTTACTCACCTTGTCTATACAAATAGCACCTGGTGTTAATAAGGTGAAGAGAATGTGGATTTTGACTGGTATGAATACCTGACAGAAAGCTTTTGTCAAGTGGAGGAAAATCTCTGGCCCCTTTCCTTCTGAAGACAGGAAATTAAAACTGAAATGTTGACTTCGGTAGCAAATATATACCTACTATTTAAAGAAAAAGGCAGTGACCTACTTAAAAGTAAAAATCAAGGATACATTTAGATTGGTAATTCACTTTAATAGTATAAACCTCATTTAGGTAGTAGTATTAAGCCACAACAATATAATGCCACATTTAAACAGCATTTAATAAAATGCATAAGCTAAATCATGCACTGCAATACCCTATATACAAACACAACAATGCAAATTCCTCTTCATGACTGAAGACATCGATTAGATATAAAATTCAGATTAAAAAAAGAACATGCTATTATTTTTAAATGCCATCACATATACAAAGCTGATTTCACAAAAGAAGCTGTGAGAAAGAAACAGCTTTTGACAGGTTTTAAACCTGAAATTAAAATGCAATGGCATAAATAACATTTTTCTAAATGACAAAGAGCAGAGGCTTACAGAAAATACCCCAGGGAACTATAGCAGACAATTCCTCTTGTAACAGATGGGGTCGTTTTGTAAGAGCTCAGAACTCCCGGGTATGTCAAATACATACAACAATTATACAATGAAAAATGTGCAGCTTTCCAGTTCTAAAACTCTTTGAACACTGGATTACAATATCATTTGGAGAAGAGATCAATTATAGAAAAATATTTCAGCACTTGAATTCAATTCCATGGATGATAAAAGCAAATATATTATATAAATAACACACTTCTAAAGGATATCCCCCCTTTTTATTTTAAATGTATTAATTCCCATGTTTTTTAAATCCAAAATTCTAGAAATAATTCTTAAAAGGGATCTGTACTTGCTTTACAATAGTAGGTATTTCTAGGAACATTTCTTTATGTGCAATGTGCCAGCTACTGAGAGGTGTTAAACACCTATAATAGGAGTGGTTTTCGGTAGCTGGCTTTCTGGGATCAAATACAGAAACCTGTTTTCACATCCCACCGTTTTTGCAAGATAATACATTCCCATTTGTATTTATGGGATAATACATTCTCATTTATTCCTATTTATATTTCAGCACAATCTGTCTGTCAAAATAGGGAAAAGAATCAGTCGTGTTCCATACCTTGCAGTCTTAATATATGGGTTGTTGTTTTTTTTTAATTCACAGTTTTCTCCTTTTAAACAGCTGTTATGCTGATCAATACCTCTATCCATTTCTTAACCTTTACAAGTGCTATTGAAATAAAACAGCATTTAAAGACATTATGGTGTCCATTCTACTTTTAACAGGAAAACAAGCATTATTCAAACAGTACTGATTGTCATGACACCAAATGAAGAGCCATCTCAGGCAGAAAATATTCCTGTTGTTTTCCATTGATTTTAATGGAATTTTTGCCTGCTGAAGAATTGGGTTTGAAATGTTAAAAGGACCAATGTTTCACAAGGTCTGCAACTGAAACAAAATCTACAAACACTTCCTAAATAATATGGCAAGAAACTGAATGCTCTTAGCAGCTTTCGTAGCAAAGATTTTACACCCAAATAGCCAGATCCTGCAAAGACACGTACTTAGGCTTAACTGTATGCGCACAAAGCATTCCCACTGACTTCTGTGGGGTCTGCTCATCTACTTAAAGTTAAGCACTGTATAAAAGTCTGTTCAGGATTGAGCCCAATACGTGGAAATAAATGCTCAGAAAATTCCACAATCATCTTGTCGAATGACAACCACATAAGAGGCACCGAGCCACTCCTCTCCCACCAAGAATTTCTGAAATGTGGAGGTAAACTTTTACAGAAGGCCTGTTACGTAAATCCGAGTCTGAAAGCAAAAGGAGCAAGATCCATTAAAATATTCCCATCAAAATATATATATTTTTTCATACTGCGGCCTCAATTTCCATGTATGCTCCAAATGCTCAGGTACTGTGATCATCACAGGGGGTTTCACACAGATTGTTTTTGTACTCAGATCACTTTTGGGAGGTGGTCTAGTGTGAAAGTGGATGTTCGTTTGACAGCTAATTAAAATTACATTACTAAGTTGTTAATCAAAGAAAGAATAACATTAGAAATTGAATCTTATGGGCAAAATCCAAATTAGTGAAGGGAGGAAAAAAAAAAGAAATTAAAAACCATATTAAAAAAAACAGAGAATAAACACAGAGGGTTACATTTAAAGTGTGAGTGTAGTCAAGAGCCCAGTAACTCAATTGCACCATCAAATATAATTAGAAAATAAAAATATTTGAAAAAGCAGGTAGAGAATATGCAATGATTTCATTAAAAACCTGGATGTTACTAGAAACAATAATGCTTAGTACCTCAAACACACCATCAAAATCCAAAAAGAGCCTAAATGTTCACAAAAAATTGGAAACCTATTTAAAAATTATTTTCTTTTATTTAACCATCACCTCCAGGGAAATTTAATTGCTTTTACTAAACCAGGCAAGATACACTGAAGGATATTGGTCATAAGTTGTATAAGCCTCTCACTG